AGAAGAGAAGGAAAACCACAAAATATAATTAAAAGTAATCTATGCAAGTTGGACATTGTTTCTAAGCTGAATGACTCAGTACCCTGCCCATATTTTCATTTCTTTTGAGATTAAAGTCATTACTTATTAAACTTTTGATATTAAACAGTTCAGGGCGACTAGACATTGTTTCTAAGCTGAATGGTCTAGTCATATGCCCAAAGAAGAGAAAAGTAGTTGTGCAACATGTTCATGTATATCCCAAGGCATGCTAGACATTGTTTATAAGTTGAATGGTCTAACACCATGCCATATGTAAGTTGGGTATAAGGGATAAATCATATGAGGGTTTCATGAACTAATCTATGCGAATTCCACTTGGGGAATGGTGAGTGTTGATTGCATCTGTAGTATGAGCTTGACTCTTCTTTGGATAGACCCTCTCGCTGATCGTATGAGTATGATGGTTGGATCATTTCATGTAAGCCGGTAATTCAGATTGTAGAAAATCTCATTTCTGATTCTTACACATCTTTCTTTTTTACTGTCTGAGCGATTCCCTTTCTCAATTGATTGTCGATTCGTTTTTCTGATATATTGTCCTTTCAGTTGATTTGTCGGCGGCTTAGTATTTCCTGTTTACTATCTGAGTGAATTTTCCCTATTGATTGATGATTCGTTTTTACAATTTTCCTTCTTTAATTTTTTGTGCCATACAGCTTTGCTAACGTTTCTCAAACTACGGTGTCGAGCGCATCGGTCCGGCACCGCACGAAGCAGCGCGGGACCCTCCCGGCCGCGTCATGCAGGAGTTGGTCTAAATCCTCGTCGCAAATATATATGGAGTTTCCGCAAGCCGCTCCGGCCGAGTGCGCCAACCATACCTCTCGCGAGCCCCTACGACAGGATAAGGCCTACGCGAGGCACGACTTACCTCCACCTTACGGGAGTTGTCACTTCCCTTCGGTGGGCGTATCCCCGCCGAGCTACCAGTCCACAGTACGAAAACTAATCAGTTGCAATCGCAGAGGTGGACCAGCCGAGGGCGTTTCTCGTTCGCTGTAGCATAGGGGGTACGCGCGGTAATACGCCTATTGGGCCCGCACGCGAACCGACATCTTGGGGGGCTGGAGTCCCAAGTGTGGCTCGTCGTCGGTCGACTAAAACGCATCCCACACACCACGCGCACACCACTTTACGGACGCAAAAATAAAACACACACACACACACACATTAAACAACGCGACAACACTCCTAGTCCCTTCAGTAGCCATCCCATAATTCTCCGATGCGGAAATCGGATAGACGTCGCGCGCGAGACTTAGTATAAAACTGCGCGGACGCAGGGCTAACTCATATCGATTCGCAATGCAAGCGTACGCAAGCGATCGCAATGACGGCGTACTATGTAGTACTCATGATCATGCGACCCTTGTTAATCGCGAGGGTCACATCCGACACTCAAGTGTCGGCTGACACGCGCCTTGAGGGTTAATCTCTCGATGCTGGACAACCGCCATGCGTGGTTGAAGACCACACACCCTCTTCTGCACCATGTGCAGAGTGGGTGGTACACAGATCCATACCTGTGGTGGCAGTCGCCTCTTAGTGCCATGGAGACGAGCCCCACTCCAGGCCTGGGCAAAAGTCAAGGGGTTTGACTTTGACGGCTATCACAGACTACAACGTCCAACTATAAAAATTAACAAGCAAAATCATCCAATAAATAAATAAACATCCCAACGCTCATATATCAAATCAGGACTCGAGATAAAATAAAAGGAAGGGGGAACATAAACCCATCAGGTAAGCAGATCGTGCGACACGTGGTTGTCATTCTCACTGCCCCTAAAGTGTGGCTCATATACCAAGCTCCAAAATACTAACCTGCATAAAACACAGGCACACACAATAGCCACATTGCCATACACCAATGTGGTCAACTTTATTGTTGCCTGTAACTCACACCATGCCTCACACACTCAAGCTCCAGTCATAGTCAAAATCTCCATAAATCTCACGAGTTCTTTATAATGGCCATTCAAACGAAGTTCGGTAAAAACCCTCCAAGAAACATATTAAATCACAGGGCTTAGGCAATCAAGTTGAGGTACAAGCATAAGCAAAGTTGTGTCGTGAGCCGACAAATCGGCGATCAACCAACCGACCTGTTATCAGTGATAACAGAATATAATCCTCGGGAGATCAAGCTGAAATTAGTCCAAATCCTGAGTCAAATGATCAAAAGGACCTGTAACACAAGACAGGTCAACGCCCCAGGCTAAAACCATAAGCCCCTGGAGAATAATCCCCACACCACAATCTTTCTCATAGTCTCTCCTAATAGCTAAGCTTTAGTCTACCTTTAAGTTTGCGCCCAAAGAAAGGTAGACTCATGGCATAATCTCCCCTACCCCCCTATCCAGGGTGGATTACCTGAATCGCCATCTGTCGAAATATAATCTAACTCCCTTAAACTAAGAAAATTTCGGCAGCGCTTCCCGTAGGAAAAGTGTCTTACCAGAGTTTATAAAAGCTCAAATATGAACAATGAAAAAATCTCTAACTTAAGAACGTCCAATTTTGTCCAACTCTGTTACGGACTTCGCCAGGGCTCGATCCCTGGTCTACCTTTTTGCTGTTTCAGCTGCATCCCGTTTTCGGCCTGGCACCCTTTTTTCAAACCCCTCCTTTGGTACCGCATGATTTTGGATAACTGGCGCCATGCTGCAATTCGAGCGCCATTATCAAATACTGCATTTTTCAGTTCTGCCCTCGGGGCCTTTGCAAAAATGTCCCTAGTACCGTACGTGTCACCGGTACTTATACCGGCTCCCCGTACGGTACGGGGACCAGTCTCGTACCAGTTCTCTACTGCTGTACTCGTACTCAATGTGACTGGCTGTTTTCGGCATTCGGGAATCCAAGACTTCAGCTTTGTGCCTTGTCACTGTGTCTGCGTCCGACCTCAGTCCGAGTCCGTCGTGTCGAGTGAGTGAGTGTGTGTGTGTGCTCTCACTCTCCCCCTCTCTCTCCTCTCCCTCGGCTCACCCTCAGCCTCACGCTCGTTTCACTGCTATTGGAGCGGTTTGAACCCGCCCGACCCACCCTACTTGGACGACGTCACCGGCCATCATCAACATCATCGTCGAGGTCGTCATTGCCGTGCCACGTCATCATCGTCATCATCGCGATCGTCGTCATTGTGCCCCGTCATCATCGTCATCGACGGGATCGCCGCCGTCGTGCCATGTCATCATCACCGTGCCTATCGTCCTGGTCGCTGCGCCACGCCGTCCTTGTCATCGCCGTCGTTCCCGTCACGGAGATAAGTAATCAACGACAGTTTTTTTTTGTTTTTTTTTTTTCTCCTTTTTTTTTTTCTTCTTCTTCTTTTCATCATCAGTTTCTTA